GGACGCGAACCGCGGTCGACTACGTGGGAGTCCAGCGACATAGCCATTACGCTAACTGCTGCTCCCTTGTTTGGTTCTTTTAATTTGCCAGAAAACATGAGTGTTTGCCAGAGAGAGACAAAGAGACAGAGGGAAGGAGAAAGCCCCCCCCCTAAGTAGGTGTGGTCTTGGCACAATCCCTGCTCTTCCATTTCTCTATCGTGTTGGGGTTGGGGCACATGCGTGCCCCTGGTGTGTTTTTGAAGCCACCAGGCTTTGGACTCAAACCACAGAGTCAGCCCTGTGGATTCCAGCCATGGAACCCGCTATCCCATTGCCCCTTCTTAGCTCAGCCAACTCCTATTCATACTTCAAAACCCAGCTCAAAAAAAAAAAAAAAAAAAAAAAAATTTAAGCCTCCGGGCCACCAGGGGGGGGGGGACTCCCACTTGATCAACTGCAATTCAAGTCCTGGACCTGGCGGCCTGAAACTCACATCGGACGCGTGTGCGTGCGTGCCCAAAATCCCAAGAGGAGAATGAAGGAGAAGCGATTGCAGCGTGGCCATCCCCCCTGGGTGGGGGGAATAATCTCTCACTTTCCACCTCCCTGTGTCTCTCTGCCTATTTGGGGAACGCACGTGCCCTATTGCAAAAATCTGTCTCTCGGGACCAGCAGTGACGTGGTGGTTAAGGCGCTGGACACCCCCACATGGTCGACCATGGTTCAAATCCTGGACCTGGTGGCTTGCTTTTTCACTTTCTCTGTCTCTCTCTGATCAAATGAAATGAATGAACAAATAAAGTTAAATAAATTATTCTTAAAAAAAAAAAAAAAAAAAAAAAAAGCTCTCCAAAAACAACAAGAAAAAATATCCACTCCTCCAGGAAGTCCTCCTTGCTTGTTCCACCGAACTCCCACCGTCTCCATGCCTCCTGCAGTCCTGACTTCACACGTGTCTATCCAGCCGCCTCCCCCCAGATCACATGTCTCTCTGGATCCGGACCAGAGCGGCCAGGAAGATGTGATCAGTGGAGCGAATCAAAAGAGATAGAACGAACCCCCCCTGAACCCCAGCTTCCCTCAACAACTTCCTCTCAGACGCCCCCAGCTGATGCTCAGCCCCGAAATACACACGCATGCAAATCCAGCCGTGCGGTGTTGACCTGTCTCGGGCCCAGGTGTGAAGGGGCCGACCAGGGAATGCGGAGGCGGAGGGTGCAGGCCTGGCGTGTCTATTTGTACGTGCATGCAAATCCCCACCCGGGCCGCAGACA